CTCAGCATTTCAGGAGCCCCCAGTAGCGCAGTGGGTTAAACCCTTGTGTCAGCAGAACTGGAGACTGACAGGTCACAGATTCGAATCCGGGGAGAGCATGGATGAGCTCCCTCTGTCAGCTCCAGCTCCACATACGGGGACATGAGAGAAGCCTCCCTCAAGGATGGTAAAACATCAAAACATCCAGGCATCCCCTGGGCAACATCCTTGCAGATGTCAAATTCTCTCACGCTAGAAGCGACTTGCAGTTTCTCAAGTCGCTCCTGACACACAAAAAAAGTGTATCCCATATCATGCTCAACACAGGATCTGACTCATGTATGATGTTCTGGTTTGTTGTAGGTTTTTTTGGGCTATATGGCCATGGTCTAGAGGCATTATCTCCTGATGTTTCGCCTGCATCTATGGCAAGCATCCTCACTACCTCTGAGGATGCTTGCCATAAATGCAGGCGAAACGTCAGGAGAGAATGCCTCTAGACCATGGCCATATAGCCCGAAAAAACCTACAGTAACCCAGTGATTCCAGCCATGAAAGCCTTCGACAATATATGATGTTCTGGATGGATATCCACTAAGGCTGTGCAAATCTTGCTCAACCATCGGAAAGGACAATTAAATGGAGATACTGTTATACCAGTAACAAAGCAGTATAGTTTGGGTGTATGTGTGTGTACAGTGCTGTATTATGTACTTTTTCTTCATGTCACACCATTAGAAAAGACCTTCATATTCTTTCATTCGGAATACATTTGTTGGGATTGTATTCGGGATAATAGAAAATAGAGGGGAGGTTCCTGTCTGTTTGCTGATTAATGACAACAATTGAGTGTGTTGTGTGTGTTTAATGTTCTATTATATACTCTCACTTCATGTCATATGGTTAGAAAAGGAACTCCTTACTTTTGCATTATGGATAAAACTGCTGGGATTCTATTCGGGATAACACAAAGTCGGTGGAAGATCTGGCCTCTCCTTCCTGCCATCTATATCTATATCTATATCTATATCTATATCTATATCTATATCTATATCTATATCTATATCTATATCTATATCTATATCTATATCTATATCTATATCTATATGAACCCCCCCCCCCCGGTGGCACAGTGGGTTAAACCGCTGAGCTGCTAAACTTGTTGACTGAAAGGTCAATCCGGGGAGCGGCGCGAGCGCCATGCAGTCATGCCGGCCACATAACCTTGGAGGTGTCTATGGACAATGCCAGCTCTTCGGCTTAGAAATGGAGATGAGCACCAACCCCCAGAGTCAGACACGACTGGATTTAATGTCAGGGGAAAACCTTAATTACCCCCCCCCCTCTCTCTCTATGTGTGTGTGTGTGTGTGTGTGTGTGTCCATGCAAGATCTATCTGCACCACAAAGGCTGTTGCTAGGTGAAGTAGCACTCTGTGTTGTCAATGAATTGGCTGTTGATAAGTGAAGTGTCCCTGTGTGATGTCACTGGGAAAGGAAGGTGATGTGTGTATGATGGGAAACGACAAGCGAGGAAGAAAGGAAAGAGCCACAAAGAGAGCCACGTTGCCTTTGGAGACATTAATGAGGCTTTCTCAGAGATAGAGAAGGGAAAAAAGAGAGGAGAAGGAACAGAACAAAAGGAAGAAAGAAAGGGAAAAAGAAGGGAAAGGAGTAGGAAGGGTGGGAGGGTGATGAAATGCCCCACTCGCAGCCAAGCAAAGCTTAAGATGCGGGTGTGGGGGGGCAGTTTGAATCACCCATGAGGGAGGCAGACTTGGTTTGGGCCAGCTAGTTTGCTGGCACATGCATGTGAGGGTTGTGGAGCAACAAGTTGGATGAGACTGCTCTGTTCCCCTCTTTCAGTTTTCTTTTGATGTCATGACCCAGCCTCCCTCACAATGGACATTGTGTGTACAGACTGGTCGCACATGGACCAGGTAGGATTCCCCCCCCCCCCCAATTTTGCATTGGGGAAACTAAGATCTTCTGAGGAGGCCCTGGTCTCGTTCCCACTACCATCATAGACGCGTTTGGCAGGGATGAGAGACAGGGCCTTCTCAGTGATTGCCCCCTGGTTATGGAACTCCCTTCCTGGCAATATTAGATTAGCCCACTCCTTGCTGTCCTTCAGAAGGATGGTGAAGACCTGGCTGTGGGACCAAGCCTTTGGGGCAGGGCAATGAGGCAAAATTTTGTCCTGAGATGGATTTTAAGCAACTTTTAATGTGGATATAAGTGATTTTAATGTTTGTATATATTTATAGTTTTATGTTCCGGCATATATTGTGCTCCGCCCTGAGTTCCCTGCGGGGTGAGAAGGGCAAAATATAAATGTTTTAAATAATAAAATAAAATATTTTTTCACCTACCCCATACTGTTTCAGATGGGTGTGGTTTCCTTGAGTATTTATTTTAAGCACATTGAGCATATGCGCATGCAATAGGTACACACGTATTTATGCTGGAGATCATGCATGATGGGTGCATCTACACTGCGGAATGAATGGAGATTGAAACTACTTGAAATAGGTTTCCTTAAGTATTTATTTCAAGCACATTGGGCATATGCGCATGCAATAGGCACACACGTATTTATGCTGGAAATCATGCATGATGGGTGCATCTACACTGTGGAAAGAGATTGAAACTTCTTTAAATAGGTTTCCTTGAGTATTTATTTCAAGCACATTGAGCATATGCGCATGCAATAGGCACACGCGTATTTATGCTGGAAATCATGCATGATGGGTGCATCTACACTGTGGAATGAATGGAGATTGAAACTACTTTAAATAGGTTTCCTTGAGTATTTATTTCAAGCACATTGAGCATATGCGCATGCAATAGGTACACACGTATTTATGCCGGAGATCATGCACGGTGGGTGCATCTACACTGTGGAATGAATGGAGATTGAAACTACTTTAAATAGGTTTCCTTGAGTATTTATTTCAAGCACATTGAGCATATGCGCATGCAATAGGCACACACGTATTTATGCTGGAAATCATGCATGATGGGTGCATCTACACTGTGGAATGAACGGAGATTGAAACTACTTTAAATAGGTTTCCTTGAGTATTTATTTCAAGCACATTGAGCATATGCGCATGCAATAGGCACACACGTATTTATGCTGGAAATCATGCTTGATGGGTGCATCTACACTGTGGAATGAACGGAGATTGAAACTACTTTAAATAGGTTTCCTTGAGTATTTATTTCAAGCACACTGAGCATATGCGCATGCAATAGGCACACACGTATTTATGCTGGAAATCATGCATGATGGGTGCATCTACACTGTGGAATGAATGGAGATTGAAACTACTTTAAATAGGTTTCCTTGAGTATTTATTTCAAGCACATTGAGCATATGCGCATGCAATAGGTACACACGTATTTATGCCGGAGATCATGCACGGTGGGTGCATCTACACTGTGGAATGAATGGAGATTGAAACTACTTTAAATAGGTTTCCTTGAGTATTTATTTCAAGCACATTGGGCATATGTGCATGCAATAGGCACACGCGTATTTATGCTGGAAATCATGCATGATGGGTGCATCTACACTGTGGAATGAACGGAGATTGAAACTACTTTAAATAGGTTTCCTTGAGTATTTATTTCAAGCACATTGAGCATATGCGCATGCAATAGGCACACACGTATTTATGCTGGAGATCATGCATGATGGGTGCATCTACACTGTGGAATGAATGGAGATTGAAACTACTTTAAATAGGTTTCCTTGAGTATTTATTTCAAGCACATTGAGCATATGCGCATGCAATAGGCACACACGTATTTATGCTGGAAATCATGCATGATGGGTGCATCTACACTGTGGAATGAACGGAGATTGAAACTACTTTAAATAGGTTTCCTTGAGTATTTATTTCAAGCACATTGAGCATATGCGCATGCAATAGGCACACACGTATTTATGCTGGAAATCATGCATGATGGGTGCATCTACACTGTGGAATGAACGGAGATTGAAACTACTTTAAATAGGTTTCCTTGAGTATTTATTTCAAGCACACTGAGCATATGCGCATGCAATAGGCACACACGTATTTATGCTGGAAATCATGCATGATGGGTGCATCTACACTGTGGAATGAATGGAGATTGAAACTACTTTAAATAGGTTTCCTTGAGTATTTATTTCAAGCACATTGAGCATATGCGCATGCAATAGGTACACACGTATTTATGCCGGAGATCATGCACGGTGGGTGCATCTACACTGTGGAATGAATGGAGATTGAAACTACTTTAAATAGGTTTCCTTGAGTATTTATTTCAAGCACATTGGGCATATGTGCATGCAATAGGCGCACACGTATTTATGCTGGAGATCATGCATGATGGGTGCATCTACACTGTGGAATGAATGGAGATTGAAACTACTTTAAATAGGTTTCCTTGAGTATTTATTTCAAGCACATTGAGCATATGCGCATGCAATAGGCACACACGTATTTATGCCGGAGATCATGCACGGTGGGTGCATCTACACTGTGGAATGAATGGAGATTGAAACTACTTTAAATAGGTTTCCTTGAGTATTTATTTCAAGCACATTGGGCATATGTGCATGCAATAGGCGCACACGTATTTATGCTGGAGATCATGCATGATGGGTGCATCTACACTGTGGAATGAATGGAGATTGAAACTACTTTAAATAGGTTTCCTTGAGTATTTATTTCAAGCACATTGAGCATATGCGCATGCAATAGGCACACACGTATTTATGCTGGAGATCATGCATGATGGGTGCATCTACACTGTGGAATGAATGGAGATTGAAACTACTTTAAATAGGTTTCCTTGAGTATTTATTTCAAGCACATTGAGCATATGCGCATGCAATAGGCACACACGTATTTATGCTGGAAATCATGCATGATGGGTGCATCTACACTGTGGAAAGAGATTGAAACTACTTTAAATAGGTTTCCTTGAGTATTTATTTCAAGCACATTGGGCATATGTGCATGCAATAGGCGCACACGTATTTATGCTGGAAATCATGCATGATGGGTGCATCTACACTGTGGAATGAATGGAGATTGAAACTACTTTAAATAGGTTTCCTTGAGTATTTATTTCAAGCACATTGAGCATATGTGCATGCAATAGGCGCACACGTATTTATGCTGGAGATCATGCATGATGGGTGCATCTACACTGTGGAATGAATGGAGATTGAAACTACTTTAATTAACTGGCATGGCTCAATGTGATGGAACCATAAGAGCTTTGGGGTGGTGTCATTTAAATAGGTTTCCTTGAGTATGTAATAAGTTTACAAGGCATGTTACAGGTTAAATAGTTATGGTAGGCAGCTTAGGGGGTGAAGGGTGGACTCCCACAAAAGTCGCCAAGTTTTCATAAAATGGGAACTACCCTTGGGGCTGGATTGAGGGTTCTCACTCTTGCAAAACTCTGAAGTTTGGGAAGGAGCACCCTCAGGATGGCCTTCCAATTATGATCGGCTGAGAGGTGCAGACAGAATTTTGATTGGCCTTCGGGAACCTTGGTGCACGCATGTCCTTTGAGGTGATCAGAGTAAGTGACTCCTGGCCCATGGACTAGACTCACTAGGTGGCTATTAAGCCATGAGTTATATTTGGCATTTTTACAGATCTTCCCTCTACAGGTTATAACAAGTTCTTTCAATAAGTAAGTCAGAAAATGGCCCTGACTCTTTATTTCATGGTGGGAGTTCAAATAAGGGAGGGAAGGAAAGAAGAGAAAGCAAAAGGGAAAAAGTATGATGGGAGGGAAAGAAAAAGCAGAGATAAAGCAGGGGAATAGCAGCCCCTCTCACCAACCCGGGCAATGTCGAGTAGACATGTTTGTTTAATCATAATGGACCCTCATTGGGTGAAATAATGGGAATTGCACCCCTCCAAATGCTTGTGACGCAATTCCACCTGGATACCGTTTGGCAACATCTTCCCTGTCCATGCGCAGGTACCCATCTCATCCTGGTTCATCCGTCCCGGTTGGCCGTATCCTTGAATGTCCACCCGCTTTTCTCCTGCAGCCAATCCACATAATTGGAGACTTTGGTGTAAACCCCATAGACTTGTTTACTCCCGCACTCTTCCGGCCCTCCCCAGGAGACCAAGCCTTGGGCAACCCACCGTTGGGTCTCCAGGTCTTGGATGACGAAAGCCCCTCCGCTGTCTCCCAGGCAGGTGTCTTTGCCCCCTTCGTAATACCCAGCACAGAACATGTTCTCAGTCACGCTATAGTTTCCCGATCGGGATTCGTAGCTCTCCTTGCACTCAGCGTGGAGCACCACCGGCAACTTGACGTACTGCAGGACGTCGGAGAGGGTCCTCATGCCAGAGCTGATGACTTCGTCCACTGTGACGTTGGGGTTGGAGATGCCCCAGCCGGCCACCAAACCCAGAGTGTTGGGCTCCGGTCCTTCCAGTTCATGCCCGGATTGTGGCAGGCACACCGGCATTACGTAGGGCCCCATGCTCACCTTCTCCTTCAGCTTCACTAGCGCAATGTCATGGTTGTAGTTTTGGATGTCAAAGGCCTCATGGAGGATGATCTTCTCCACCGTTCGGTTGACGGCGTTCACCCGATTCCTCACGTCGTGGAGGCCCAAGTAGACGGTGACGTGCTCCTTGGAGACGGGGATGATGGTGTTGTCCCGGCGCTGGGAGCGGAGGACGTGGGCAGCTGTCAGCACCCAGGATTCGGAGAGGAGGGCCCCACTTCCAAACCATTTATCGTTGGGGACCCGAGAGGTGTCCTCCACCACAATGAGTGCTTGCCAAGGGAAGTAGCCTGGGGCTGCGTTGCGTCCGCCGATTATGCGCTTGAATAAGGTGGGCAGAGGGCGAAGGGGTTGCCCACAGACTGTGGAAAAAGCACAAGAAGAGGAAATGGTTATGCTCTAGCAGCCTTACAGTTCGTCAAAAAAATAAGTGAATGGTGAGTTCGTAGATTATGCCAATCTTCTCCCTGGTTGTTCTAGGGTGCATCTATACCAAACGACCTCAAACTGTGGCTCTCCAGCTGTTTGGGTCTCCAACTTCCAGAAGTCCTTCTTTCCAGCTTGGTCAATGGTCAGGAATTCTGGGAATTGGAGGCCCAAACAGCTGGACGGCCACAGTTTGAAGATGTTTGATGTATACCATAGAATTAATGCAGTTTGACATGAGTTTGACTGCCATGGCTCAACACTATGAGATGCTATCACTCTTTGGCAGAGAAGCATGAAGACCTTGCCATGATTCCACAGCATGAATCTATGACAGTAAACACTGATGTCAAGCTGCAATAGTTCTTTAGGATAGATGCAGGCTTGTCCATTGAGTGTAAGGAAGACCTTGCCTTACTTTCAGCTGCACATTTGGACCTTGCAGTTACTTCAAGCCCAAGTGATGTGAGCTCAAGTGATTTTGCTTCTGTCGATAGGTGCAATTACAGTGTATAATCACAAGCAGATGATGTTACATTCTGAAAAACTTGAATTTTCATTCCAAGGTTTGGAATCAAGGAGGTTGATTCTTGCCCATCTCATACCCAAGATTTCAAGCCCATTGAGCATATGCGCATGCAATAGGTACGCACGTATTTATGCCGGAGATCATGCACAATGGGTGCATCTACACTGTGGAATGAATGGAGATTGAAACCACTTTAATTAACTCATTGTGATGGAACCATAAGAGCTATGGTTTGGGGAGGTACCAGCACGCTTTGGAAGAGAAGGCTGAAGGCCTTGTAAAACTACATCTCCCAGGACTCCATAGCATTAAACCATGGCAGTTAAAATTGGTGCCGAAAAATGATCAAGGGTCTGGAGAACAAGCCCTATGAGGAGCGGCTTAAGGAGCTGGGCATGTTTAGCCTGAAGAAGAGAAGGCTGAGAGGAGATATGATAACCATGTATAAATATGTGATATGAAGCCACAGGGAGGAGGAGGGAGCACGCTTGTTTTCTGCTTCCTTGGAGACTAGGACGCAATGGAACAATGGCTTCAAACTACAAGAAAGGAGATTCCACCTGAACATGAGGAAGAACTTCCTGACTGTGAGAGCCGTTCAGCATTGGAACTCTCTGCCCCGGAGTGTGGTGGAGGCTCCTTCTTTGGAAGCTTTTAAACAGAGGCTGGATGGCCATCTGTCAGGGGTGATTTGAATGCAACATTCCTGCTTCTTGGCAGAATGGGGTTGGACTGGATGGCCCAGGAGGTCTCTTCCAACTCTTTGATTCTATGATTCTATGAAAGGCATTCATTCCATGGTGAAGAGTCACCCAATGTTTGGGAAATCATTGCTTTTTTGCATTGGGATTGATTTCACAAAACCATACAATTATGGTGTGATTGTTTTAAAAACTGCATTATACACGTGCAAATAAATCAGAGAAGCCAAAAGGAAAAGGATGTAAAAGGAAGCAAGGCTTTGGTACATTCAATACCGATTTCTTACTTAAGATCCAGGTCAAAATCACTTTCGAATAATTCAATCAGAACTTGGGAGTGTGACTTTTTTGGACTGCAACTGCAAAACTTTTCAATGGGGTTTGCTATGTTAGAGCATTGCCACAAAAGCAAGAGAGTCTTGTGCCACCTGAGGAAGGAACACATATCGAAAGCAAAAGGACTGGTGGCATAATCTACTGCCAATGATGCACATACACCACGGATGGTGTCATGCATCATTGCACCCTTGGAAATCCGAAATACCTTTGCAAGACAGGAAAGAAAGCAGGGAAGTCCTTGCCCAATGGGCCACCTGCCCCTTCCTTCTTCTGTGATGCCCAAGGCTGGCAACGAAAAGAAGACAGACAAATCGTACGGCTATTGTTGTTTGTGTGTAAGTGGGATGGCGGAGGGTGGATTGGCACCTTTCACTGTGTGTTGGGAAGCCATTGTGGAATGGAGGTTTTTATTCATCATGTCAGGAGCAAACTAAACAGTTGTATTGCATTTTTAAAACAAACAAACAAACAAAACACAAAGTTTGCAAGCTTGGTAGTTGATTAAATGTCCTTTGACCAGTATCTGGCCACTTGGAGTGCCTTTGGTGTTGCCGCAAGGAGGTCCTCCATTGTGCAAGTGGCAGGGCTCAGGTTGCATTGCAGCAGGTGGTCAGTGGTTTGCTCCTCTCCACACTCGCATGTTGTGGATCCCACTTTGGAGCCCCATCTCTTTAGGTTGGTTCTGCATCTCGTGGTGCCAGAGCGCAGTCTGTTCAGCGCCTTCCAAGTTGCCCAGTCCTCCGTGTGCCCAGGGGGGAGTCTCTCATTTGGTATCAGCCATTGGTTGAGGTTCTGGGTTTGAGCCTGCCACTTTTGGACTCTCGCTTGCTGAGGTGTTCCAGCGAGTGTCTCTGTAGATCTTAGAAAACTATGTCTTGATTTAAGTCGTTGACGTGCTGGCTGATACCCAAACAGGGGATGAGCTGGAGATGTCACTGCCTTGGTCCTTTCACTATTGGTTGCTACTTCCCGGCGGATGTCAGGTGGTGCAATACCGGCTAAGCAGTGTAATTTCTCCAGTGGTGTAGGGCGCAGACACCCCGTGATAATGCGGCATGTCTCATTAAGAGCCATATCCACTGTTTTAGTGTGGTGAGATGTGTTCCACACTGGGCATGCATACTCAGCAGCAGAGTAGCATAGCGCAAGGGCAGATGTCTTCACTGTGTCTGGTTGTGATCCCCAGGTTGTGCCAGTCAGCTTTCATATGATATTGTTTCTAGCTGGAATGGAGGTGGAAAAAAAAGCTGGAATGGAGGTGAAAACAGTGTTAAGTTCCTTCCTCTGGAACGCAACATCACTCAGGAAGCACCAACGAATGTCAACAGAGAGAAATGTATGATAGTATTTCTGTGGGTGGTGCAATGTGCTGCTGAACTGCTGACCTGAAGTTGGCAGTTCAAATCTGTGGGATGGGGTGAGCGCCCGCTGTTAGCCCCAGCTCCTGCCAACCCAGCAGTTTGAAAACATGCAAGGGTGAGTAGATCAATAGGTACCATTTCTGCGGGAAAAGGCAAAAAGATGTTCCATGCAGTCATGCCAGCCACACAACCAGGAGGTGCCTATGTACAACACACCCTCCTCAGCTTGGAAATGGAGCACCTCCCACAGAGCCAGAGATGAGCACTGCCTCCAAAGCTGGAAATGAAAGGAGAAGTCTTTGCCTTTGTCTGTGTATTTGTGTCTCATTGTATGTCACTGTAATAAGGATTTCAATGTTTGCCGTTGCTGTGATCTGCTCTTAGTACCCTCGGGGAGAAAGGCAGAATATAAATAAATTATTATTATTATTATTATTATTATTATTATTATTATTATTATGACATTAAAAAATTAAAATGATCAGATATCCAGGTGACATATGGTTTGAAAGCAATCCATCTGAAAGGGATCAAGGAGTCTTAGGAGACCACAAGCTGAACATGAGCCAACAGTGTGATGTGGCATCTAAAAAGGCCAAGGCAATTCTAGGCTGCATCAAAAGGAGTCTAGTATCCAGACTAAGGGAAGATATAGTCCACTCTCTATTCCTTCGCTTTGGTCAAACCTCACCTGCAGCTAATAGCCCTGTGTTCAGTTTTGGGTAAAGCAATTCAAAAAGGACATTGGGTTGCTGTGAGCTTTCCGAGCTGTCTGGCCATATTCCAGAAGCATTCTCTTCTGACGTTTTGCCCACATATATGGCAAGCATCCTGAAAGGTTGTGAGGTCTGTTGGAAACCAGGCAAGTGGGGTTTATATATCTGTGGAATGATGTCCAGGGTGTGAGAAAGAACTCTTGTCTGTTGGAGGCAAGTGTGAATGTTGCAATTGGCCAGCTTGATTAGCATTCAATAGCCTTGCAGGTTCAAAGCCTGGCTGCTTCCTGCCAGGGGAGGGAGAATCTTTTGTTGGGATGTGTTAGCTGTCCCTGATTATTTTCTGTCTGGAATTCCCCCAAAATTCCTCCTCTGTTTGAAGCAAGTGAAAATGTTGCAGTTAGCAAGTCTGATTGGCATTGACTCATAGAATCATAGAGTTGGAAGAGACCTCGTGGGCCATCCAGTCTAAACCCTTGTCATTGAGGAGCCTTGCAGCTGCAAAATCAGTTAGTGAGGGTATCTGCATACCCTGTAGGCTGTTGCTGCCTGGAGGCATCCTCTTTTTGGGAGGTGTTAACTGGCCTTTAACTGTTGGCTGCCTGGAGTTCTCCTGTTTCTGAGTTGTGTTCCTTATTTACTGTCTTGATTCTGGTGTTTTGTAGTACTGGGAGCCAGATTTCGTTCATTTTCATGCTGGACCATTCTGGCAACCATCAGGTCAGTCGACACAGAGAAGCCATTGAAATCTACAAGCAAGTGGACAGTTTCAACAGAAAGGAGGAAACCAAACCGCTTTGGCTGTTTCAGAGTCAGTGATTTGCCCCATAACATCCTGGAGGAAGAGAGGTTTCCCAGTGACAAGCAGCTGGCTTGGATCAAACTGGGAGATAAGAGATTAACCATAGCTGGAATTCTTTGCTCGTCCGAGTCAATTTGCTTTGACCTCTGGAAAGCTTTCTTTCAATCACTAACAGGAGTTCATTGCACTTCTGCAAAGTAACTAAAGATTCATAAAGTCATGCCACAAAGAATGTGATGTAGAATTTCTAAGAATATCATCATTATTGTCAATATTGTTATACTATGCCCATATCCATTCCAAACAGGCAGAAACTCAGAAACACCTATGGAAAGCCCCTACGATGAAGCTCAAAGACCAAACTTGACACCTTACGTGTCTTTGATTCTCATTTTCCACCCAAACGAGCCTGTATAAATAAAAATATTGCACCATCTTTGAAATACAGGATTGGATTGAACTGCTGCAAGGAGACCTGTAGCCATAATATGGTCTAGGTACCTGGTTGACAGGTAGGAAGGCGCCTGCCCAGCTCTGGACTCTGCCAAAATCCCTTGGCATTGCAGATGTAGGTACCTGGGGGAGAAAGAAAGAGTTGTGGTTGTTGTTATTTCTGTCTGACTGTTGTTGTTATTTCTGTCCTGCTCTATCTCTAAAAAGAGACCCAGAGTTAAAATACAATCTCTCTCTCTCTCCCCCCACTATCTATCTATCTATCTATCTATCTATCTATCTATCTATCTATCTATCTATCTATCTATCTATCTATCTATCCATCCATCCATCCATCCATCCATCCATCCATCCATCCATCCATCCATCTCTCTAACTAGTTGTTGTGAAGTCGAATAAGACCACCAGGTGGCAGTATAACAACCTTATTTAATATCACTATGTAACACAATTTTTGTTCCTGGGTTATAAATGCCATTTCTTAATTGATTCTATCATAAAAACATGGGAAACGTTTCTTAAACGTAAACAATCAGGCACATCAAATCACTCTCAACAAAAGATTCCCCCCAGGCACTTCCAAGCCATTAAATGCTACAATGCAAGGTGGCCAGTTGAAACATTCACACCTAGCTCCAGCAGACAAAAGTCCTTTGTCCCACCCTGGTCATTCCACAGATATATAAACCCATTTTCCTGCTTCCAATAGACCTCACTATCTCTGAGGATGCTTGCCATAGATGCAGGCGAAACGTCAGGAGAAAATGCCTCTAGAACATGGCCATATAGCCCGGAAAAACCTACAACAACCCAGTTTCTTAAACTGCAAAAACTTTGTGGGAGGGACATCATCCTGCAGTACATTTTGCTATAGTTTTTCAGTGAATATTTCAGAGTCTCAACCAATCCAACCTAGTTTGTGGCAGCCACAAAAACAAAAGTTTCTGGAGTTGAACAATTATTTTCAAAGTAAGGATTACACACTCAATACTGGCTGTCTTTCCAAGGCAGTGGATCTGACCTGAGATGTTGGGCACCATGTGGTAGTAGGGATGGTGGCAGGAATACTGGATCCCTGATTGGAAGGTGGTCAGGTTGGCTGGTGAGGAGAAGGAGGCAAAGCCGTGGTCCAACCTGGGAGGCGCCTTGCAGTCTGCAACTGGGAAGACAAGCAGAAAAGACAGGGGAAGAAATCAGACTGCAGTACTGAAGATGTGTTTGAGGTTTCGATGGTCATGGCTCACAACTTTTGCTTTGTATATATACTAGGGTATATGCTTAGCATTGACCAGGTTTGCATTTTCCATGTCTCTTTCTTTTCTTCTTCCCTTTTGCTTATGCACCTTCAGTCCTCTCCTACCTTCTCTTTCCTTCCTCTGTCTTCCCTTTTTGTTTCTTCCTTCCTTTTTTTGCTCCCTTTTCTCCCTCCATTCTCTTTCCACCTTTCTCTTTCCTTTTTGCCTTTCCCCCTTTCCTCCCATCATCAGGCCTTTCCTTGAAAATCACAGTCTCTCAGTCTCAGATCATGGCAGAGGCACACACAACCCTAGCAAAATATCAATCTTCTTAAATTGCTTACATCTCTATGGAGTGGATAGCCCAATTGTGGTCTTCAGACTTGTGCTTTTTTGCCTCAATGTGAGATCATTTTGTGGTCCATTAGCTAATAATATGGAGCCCCTGATGGCGCAGTGGGATAAACCCCTGTGCCAGCAGGACTGAAGACTGACAGGTCGCAGCATCGAATCCAGGAAAGCGGATGAGCTCCCTCTGTCAGCTCCAGCTCCTCATACGGGGACATAAGAGCAGCCTCCCACAAGGATGATAAAAACATCAAAAATCATCCAGGCGTCCCCTGGGCAACATCCGGCCAGTTCTCTCACTCCAGAAGCGACTTGCAGAGTCTCAAGTCGCTCCTGACACAACAACAACAACAACAACAACAACAACAACAACAACAAAAAGCAGCTAATAATGCCTATCTATATACTGCCCTCTTGTGGTTTCATTTCAGCACTGCATACATACATGCCTATAGACCAGGGAAGGGTAAACTTTTTGGCCCTCCCTCCAGGTGTTTTGAACTTCAATTCCCACAATTCTTAACAGCCGGAATTGTGGGAGTTGAAATCCAAAACACTTGAAGGGAGGGCCAAAGATTGCCAGTACCTGCTATAGACCAATAGCTAACCCTTTCTACCCATATACTAGCATTTGTTACTTTTTGTTGTCCATTTCCCCTCCCTTGGCAGCCACCTCTCCACAAAAGTCAACATTGACACTGAAATACAACACCACCTGAGCTCTGCAAGTGCAGCATTCTTCTGAATGATGCACAGAGTGTTTGAGGACCGGGACACCCGTAGGGAGACCAATGTGTTTGTTTATAAAGCCATTGTTCTCCCAACCCTGCTATACGCCTGCGAAACATGGACCGGTCTACAGACGTCATATGCAGCTCCTGGAATGATTCCATCTGCGTTGCCCCCCAAAAATCCTGCAAATTTCTTGGGAAGACAAGCAGACAAATGTGAGCGTGCTGGAAGAAGCAAAGACCACCAGCATTGAAGTGATGGTACTCCACCATCAACTCCGCTGGACCGGCCACGTTGTCCAAATGCCCACCGTTTTCCAAAGCACTGCTCTAGTCAGAACTCAAGAATGGGAAATAAAATGTTGGTAGGCAGGAAAAGAGAATTACAGATGGGCTCAAATCCAACCTTAAAAACTCTAGCATAGACACTGAGAACTGGGAAGCCCTGGCCCTTGAGTGCTCCAGCTGGAGGTCAGCTGTGACCAGCAATGTTGTAGAAGTCGAAGAAGCACGAATGGATAGTGAAAGGGAGAAAAATGCCAAGAGGAAGGCGCGTCAAGCCAACCCTGACAAGGACCGCATTTCATCTGGAAACCGATGTCCTCACTGCGGGAGAACATGCAGATCAAGAATAGGGTCCACAGCCACCTACTGACCTTCCGCCAAGACAATAATCCTCAAGCTATGAGGGATCATCTAAGTAATTACGGTAAGTAAGGTCTATCCATATACTGCCCTCTTGTGATTTCATTTCACCACTCCAGATGGTAGAACAGAAGCTCTCGAAGCTCTAGGTGCTCTTACTGCCTATTACAGGGAAAACCAGCTGATCTCCAACCCATCCAAAACACAGCCATGTGCCTTTCATCTCAAGAACAGAGAAGCATCCTGAGCTCTGAGGATTACCTGCGAAGGAATCCCACTGGAGCATTGCAGCACACCCAAATACCTGGGAGTCACTCTGGACCGTGCCCTGACCTACAAGACGCACTGCCTGAACATCAAGCAAAAAGTGGGTGCTAGAAACAATATCATACGAAAGCTGACTGGCACAACCTGGGGATCACAACCAGACACAATGAAGACATCTGCCCTTGTGCTGTGCTATTCTGTTGCTGAGTATGCATGCCCAGTGTGGAACACATCTCACCACGCGAAAACAGTGGATGTGGCTCTTAATGAGACATGCCGCATTATCACGGGGTGCCTGCACCCTACACCACTGGAGAAATTACACTGCTTAGCCAGTATTGCACCACCTGACATCCGCCGGGAAGTAGCAGCCAATAGTGAAAGGACCAAGGCAGAGACATCTCCAGCTCATCCCCTGTTTGGGTATCAGCCAGCACGTCAATGACTTAAATCTAGAAATAGTTTTCTAAGATCTACAGAGACACTAGCTGGAACACCTCAGCAAGCGAGAGTCCAAAAGTGGCAGGCTCAAACCCAGAACCTCAAACAATGGTTGATACCAAATGAGAGACTCCCCCCTGGGCACACAGAGGACTGGGCGACTTGTAAGGTGCTGAACAGACTGCGCTCTGGCACCACGAGATGTAGAGCCAACCTTCAGAAATGGGGCTACAAAGTGGAATCCACGACATGCGAGTGTGGAGAAGAGCAAACCACTGACCACCTGCTGCAATGCAACCTGAGCCCTGCCACATGCACCATGGAGGACCTTCTTGCAGCAACACCAGAGGCACTCCAAGTGGCCAGATACTGGTCAAAGGACATTTAATCAACTACCAAACTCACAATTTTCGTATTTTGTCTGGGTTTTTTTTGCTTTGTTCTGTTAGAAATGTAATATAATCGACTGGTTGCACTGACACGATAAATAAATAAATACCACTCCAGACATACATGCCTATAGCCCAGGCAAGGGCAAACCTTTTGACCTCCTCTCCAGGTGTTTTGGACTTCAACTCCCAGAATTCCTAACAGCTGGTAGGCTGTTAGGGATTGTAGGATTTGAAGCCCAAAACACCTGGAGGGCTGAAGTTTGCCAATGCCTGCTATAGACCAATAGCTAACCCTTTCTATCAATATACTACCATTTGTTACTTTTTGGCTCCTTGATACAAAATGGAATGGAGTTTGTAGTAAAAACCCCACAATTATTTTAATTTGGGTAATGAAGGGTACATGGTCTGTGTTTGATCCAGATCCAACAAGCCATGGAGGAACCTTAGTGGAATAAACCAACACACATACTTTAGATATATGGATTGATGGAGAGATAGATGTATGTGTGATCTTTGAGCATTTGGACAACATGTCATTTAGTCCAGCGGAGTTGATGCCATAGGAGCATGTCTATATTGCTGGTGGTTTTTGATTCTTCCAGCATGATGACATTTATCTGCCTGTCTTTTCAAGAGATTTGTAGGATTTTTCGGAGGCAACGCTGATGGAATCGTTCCAGGAGTCGAGAGTGATGTGTGTATAACAGAGTTGGGAGGACAATCTATATAAATAAAAATGTCATGTTCGTTTGTGGGACTAACATAACTCAAAAACCCACTGGGTGAATTGATACCAAATTTCGACACAACGAGTGACCATTACTCATAAAAACACTGAAAAACACATGGAAGAGACTTAAAAAGCCAAAAAAATAAAAAAAAAATACATTACAACGCATGCACATAACCACATTGTTCCCCTGACATTAAGTCCAGTCGTGTCCGACTCTGGGGGTTGGTGCTAATCTCCATTTCTAAGCCAAAGAGCTGGCGTTGTCCATAGACACCTCCATGGCCGGCATGACTGCATGGAGCACTGTTACTTTCCTGTCGAATTGCTAGGAGCTGACAGTGGAAGCTCATTCCACTCCCCGGATTTGAACCTGTGACCTTTCGGTTAGCAAGTTTAGCAGCTCAGTGGTTTAATCCACTGCACCACCGGGGGCTCCGGCATAACCACATGTGTATTTATGCATAACCACATGTTGTTGTTGTTCATTCGTTCAGTCGTCTCCGACTCTTCGTGACCTCATGGACCAGCCTACGCCAGAGCTCCCTGTCGGCCGTTACCACCCCCAGCTCCCTCAAGGTCAGTCCAGTCACTTCAAGGATGCCATCCATCCATCTTGCCCTTGGTCGGCCCCTCTTCCTTTTGCCTTCCACTTTCCCCAGCATAATTGTCTTCTCTAGGCTTTCCTGTCTCCTCATGATGTGGCCAAAGTACTTCAACTTTGTCTCTAGTATCTTTCCCTCCAGTGAGCAGTCGGGCTTTATTTCCTGGAGGATGGACTGGTTGGATCTTCTCGCAGTCCAAGGCACTCTCAGCACTTTCCTCCAACACCACAGCTCAAAAGCATCGATCTTCCTTCGCTCAGCCTTCCCTAAGGTCCAGCTCTCACATCCGTAGGTTACTACAGGGAATACCATGGCTTTGACTAGGCGGATCTTTGTATATCCACATAAATACACATATATACAAACATATACACACATATACACATATATATACACACAAAACACATATACACAGACTGGGCCACAGCAACGCATGGCAGGGGACGGCTAGTGATTTTATAAACAAGTACCTTGCTCTCCCTATGAATGTCCCAATCCTCAAACACTCTCTGCTTCATTCGGGAAAATGCTGCACTCGCAGAGCTCGGACGGTGTTGTATTTCAATAGCAGGAATTTCAGTAGTGCTTACAAGGTAGTGGAAATGGTCAACATTTTCTAAGATTACACAATTAAGATGTATTTCTGGCATTGCAGAGGGATCGATTGGTGCCTGCTGAAAAAGCATTTTGGTTTTCCCAATGTTCAGTGAGAGGTTGAGCTTTTCGTATGCTTCTACAAATGGGGTTCAGGCACCCCCCCTC